TTAAGGTTTAGGGTTCAGGGTTATGAACGGTAGTAATAATAATGCTAGTAACAGCACAACAATAGTAATCGTAGCAATAATGGGAATACTGGTATTAATAGTGCAGGTGCGGGCAAGTGTGGCTTGTTGTTTGTCACTTGCTATGACAAGCTCGTGGTCCCTTCGCCTGGTGACCTGTACTGCGGCAATAGCAAGCATGGACCTTTTTGGCTACAACCCAATACTCTAAAACCCTAGGCCCTAAAGCCCTAAACCCTACTGTGTTGGAGACGCCCCTGACATGATTCTGATGGGCGCAGGTATTCCTTGGACTGGGTCATTTGCGCCGCGGCGTGGATGAGGTATCCAAAGGCGCCCTAAGGTTGTTGACCCCAGGAGCCGAAGACCCCTTAAGTAAGGAATTGAATATTCCTTAACTGGCACTAAGGTCCCTTATATGACTGAAGGTATATTCCCTATTTAAGGGGTCTTTGGGTCTCTGGGGACTCTAAGCCACACCAAATACTTCCTAGAGTTGCCCAAGGTTGATGTCAAAGCGCGTGCTTTGCCGGGCTTTTTGGGCTACTGAAGGGTTTAGGGTTTCGGGTTTGGGGTTTAGTTTAGGGTTGAGGGTGTAGGGTTTGGTTAGTTTGAAGTGTGCGCCAAGGGCCTCAGCTTGAAAAAGGCACCGGGGGCCATCAGTATCACGACAGACTACGGAGTTGGATTCTACATCGTAGCTACCATTGAGGTGGACCTCCACCCAGTAATGGGAACTAGGTGGGATAACGATGATTATCGTAGGATCCTTCTATGTTCTTCTACTGTTTCAGGGTTGGGGGTTGGGGCGTCCACCTAAACCATCAAGTGCAGCAGAGACAACAGGCCCCTTTCCTACTCTAGGCATGTGTTTGCAGAACTGCAACGTTTCACCTGATGCGGACACAGTCGCATGACTTCAGGTACATTCTACCCTGGGAAAAAAGGTATTATGGCATGACACAGAATCCCGGAGCCAAATCAGTAAGTTCCCAGATTCCTGGTACATCCTGGTACCATTGTGGTATAGCGTATCTCAAACAGACCTCAAAAAGATATTGATGATAAAGTAGGCTTACTTTCAGCCCCGTTCCATTTGATCCTCTATTATTGAGAGTAATTCACGCCCTAAACTCTAAATCCAGTAGGCGCCGATTGCTTTTCCATTCCCTACCTATATCCCCCCCTGGACCTACTTACATAACCTTCACATACCTTGGGTACTGCCCCCACTCAGTAACAGCTGGATACGAACTATAATACGGTTATATATAGCCCTTAATAGGACCCCTAATATAGACTGTTTCTGGGGGGGGGCAGTACCCAATATATACACATGCTTTCACCTCCCCGAGGCATGATTGAGGTCCCCCAAGGT